ATTTTCGTTCGATTGTGTGAACTGCTGCATTACTATATTTATTTGAATTTCTTTATTATGGTGACATGATTGCACGCCACGGCAAGCTGAATATAAACTGTCTTCACGAGGACTATCCTACCGTTTGCACAGCACACGTGATTGCTTGTCTGATAGTGAGTAAATCAGGTGAATTTTGGTGCAATGATAAGGAACACAGGAGTGAAATGTGGATGGCACATAAAAAGGAGAAGAGACAACCCCTTATTCCGGATAATAAGTAGTTCAACCGGAGCAACTGGTGCAGTTGCTACAAAATATGGAATCCCCGCGGGAAGCTCATCCTCTCCATTGAGGAGTGAACTGACCGAGATGGTAGCCCGACAAAAACAACGGGGATGGAAATTATCGGAGAATCGCTCCCCGTCCGGATCAACACCATATAATATTGCCGTATCACCAGCGTGATTGTCGCTTATTTCCTTTTAAACGAAAATGACGTGGATAAACGAATGGACTGGTTCGTCAAAATCAGGGAGAATCAACAAAAATTGAACAGAAAAAATTTTTGATCAAAAATAAATTACATGCAGAAGGGGTTCAAATGAGATGCAGTAGAAAAGAATTGGTCATTCTAAATGCAACGATTTCTATTGACGTATATCAATAGTGACGGTTATCAACTTTAAATATAAGAATCCTAATCAGATCCGGTGTTACAACACTATTCCAAGAACAGCTGGGAGCATAAGCATGAAATCTTCCTGAAATGTGAGTTCTCGCCTCGTGTCAGAGGTTTCAGTAGGATCAATAGCAAATTCAACCGCTGAACAAGCAAAACACGAGGATGGATGTGCATGGTTTCCAATTCCTTTTAATCCACACGATTCAAACGGGCATATGAATCTTCCACAACACGAGTAACATTCCTATTCTCTCAAGAATGAATGTGTGAACGGTACCTCGGATAAATACCGCGACAACGATCCAATAAACTCTGATTTTTCACTTTTCAACCGCTCGTTTTCACTGCGCAATCGCTCACTCTCTCTTCTCAATCGCATATTCTCTTCTTTGATTTGCTCTACTTCGCTGACCTACAATCGACGTCATCAGATTTTGCTTGTATTGAATCACCAGAGTCAAGAACACGAGTTTTTTGGCTCCCTTGGAAGAATATATTAGAACATTCAGTAGCTGCATATGAGACTGGTACGACGGTTTTTTACGGATTCACATTGTTCCAGAGGGGAGCAGAGCGACTTTCGAAGCTGGAGCGAATGTTTTGAAAAATGCGGAGCCTGAGCTACAGCCGAAATTTTACAAGATGTACAGCCTGATTCAAAATCTTGAAATGCGGAGTTGGAACTGAAAATCTCAAAAACGTGGAGCCGAACCTCAATTTTTTTTTCAAATATTTCATGACTGCTAAGGAAGATTGATGATGTTTACTTTTTTNACTGAATAGAAACTCTGAAACTTATGATTTTATCACTGCTGCAAGTTTGTTACTTGTGGAAGTTTATCGAACACGAACTGAGAATTATTGCCTAGATAATGAACTGGGAATAATAGAATGATTTCTGAAAATGAAACCTGCATAAGTCGAGAATGCAACAGATGCAGGGATGATTGTTGTGGTAATGCTGGAACTGGTACGCTGAGTGAATTTGGTGGGGCTGTTACGAGAATATCCTTATCTGACGAATTATTCGGAGGAAAGTCATTGAGATTTGTAACATCTGAATGAGTGAACATCCATGAAAGTTGTGTTGTTGGCTGTTCAGGTGCTGAGATCGTCGCCATGTTTAAATCAGCGTTTTGTGATGTGTTCGTCTGAATTAGAAATCAGCATCAGTCATGAACATCGGAAATACGCCAAAGAAAAAATTTCAGATAAGCCTTGGAGCTACACTAGTACCACGTATTTTAAAAATTATTAAGCCGGAGAGAATGATGTTTTAACATGTCAGGTGGTAAAATCCAACGATAATCAGCTTGCGTTGGTCATTAGGTATAATGCACATCTCTTCAAACATGAACGAATGGTCACTCGGGCTTCATGAACTTCATGAACGAATCAAATTGAATTCCCGTTGCAAAGTATTTCGGTACATTCATTAACGAAGTATAATGAATGTACCGTTAAAAATTGTTGGGCTGCACTCGTTCCAAAGTGATACTTCTTGGTTAACCATTCATACAAAACACGTTCATCTTCAGTCAGTAGTGAATCGATGTCGGATTGTGCGGATGTCGACGCTCCNCTCCATTACAATATCTATGATACCCAAAATGTTTATTCAAGTTGTAGATTTAAAAAGCTGTAATGACTTAGCTGCAACGCCAGGTTGAAAACATAGATCATGATGAAGATGTTACAAGGCCATCATGGAGAAAACAGAAAACAGGAATGAAATGAGTACGTGGATTAACAGTGGTTTACTAATTGTTCGGTACTGAACAGAATTCATGATAACACCTTGAATGTTGATGCAAGCAGCGCTCGATTTTGTTGACGCATAACACCCATAAATGATGCAGTGATTTCACAGTCTCGTTCCTCGACGGAAATTTTTCTGTGAACCTTCAATGGAGGAACATATTGAGGCACATATTTTTTATTAATGTCGTTGTTTCATAAACTGGCGTTGTTTCATCCTGCTCATCGCAATATTATTTTCGATACTTTTTGTGAGCGAACGTCCAATGAGCAACTGAGATAGCCGAACTTGAAATATATGGGGGAAACTAATTGGAGATCATCAATAATTCGAACAGGAAACTGAATGACCATTCACTTTGGTGAAGGCGTTGGGTTAGCAATGAATGGCTGGCTAATAAATGGCGTTACCCGAATGATCTGAGATGGGATGGTTCTGGAATTACACTGAAGATATTATAATTCAAAAACCACCATCGTATTTTACAAATGAAACTCACTTCTTCAAGACCTCATTCCACACATCAATTCGATCTGCATTTAAACCAATGAAATCACACGGTAACGTCTCACCAAAAAGACCTTCCCTATTACTAATGACCAATCTAATTAGTGTGTCGCATTCAGACGAACTCCATTCATTAGACCTCTCTGAAATCTGTGTTATAAGCAACTCTGCATTGATTTGCTTACCGCCTTGAAATCAATCGAGTCACCGCAACTGACCACATTCCGTTCTAGAACCTGTGCAGCTGGTGTGATATCTCAATTATTTCGTTTTCCAAAAATTCTGACATTTCGCCTCAAAACCCTTGGTTGCCACTCTGAGCTTCTCCCACCTCGACTTCCCGAAATTTTCAACGCCGCTCTCGAGTCAAATTAAATTCCCATTCGAAAGTGTTTCATGAAGAGTTCCGTACTGAATTCATACAAGGTGTGTGCTCGGTTTATTTTCTATTACCCTTATGATTACAATGAGTTGCCAGTGTTAGATGTACTTCGCTGCATCATTAGTTATTGGCTCAGAGCAGCTGAAATTTACGAAATTCAACAGCAATAAACAACATCCCCAATGGTATTCAACCCTGCGCATGAATTGGTCTTTTTATGGAAACTTTACCTAACAGCAATATCGCATTTGACAGGGGGTCTCAGAAGAAGCGCTCAGTTTGTAACTCTACTTAAAGAAAACCGTCATCGAGATAATCAACCCTGTGAGCGATGCACTACGCGTAATATAACGATACTAACATAAGATTGACAAACGAAAGACCAATGAACTATACGTTATATTGGATGAGAAAAAAGATAGGAAAGCGAAAAATTGCAGAACTAATGAATAATTAAACCAACTGAAAAAAACTAAGTGATACAATACACAATAAAATGAAGATCCAGGAAATCCGATGTTGCTTTCATCTGGCAATATCATCGGTAGGTTTGAAGGAAAGATTAGAACTCCATTGCTCGACTCACTGTTCCGTGCCAAATAGGAAGAGAATTTGGAAGCCTCATGAACGGAATTAAATGTTTGCCAGGAAAGTGGGCATCGCGAAAACAATGTGACACAGAAGAAAGTATCAAAAGGATACTGTAAGCGATAGTGAAGCACACAATGCTCTCACAATTAGTGAGTTGCATGAAGACGAAAAGAAAAATGAATGGACCGAATCGAATCACAATAATAATAATACGGGAAGTACCTGGTTGAATGGCATCTGCTACTGAATTAAACTGACAATGGGGAGGAACAACAGACGGTGCCGCATTGGTCGTATGCGATTGTCTTGAATCATCCTCAATTAGCGTTATCGAATCACCGCTTTCCGCAACACTACAAGATGAATTCGAACGTTGAAATGCTGACAGGTCATTGACATCATTCGCTGCATCAGAGCGAGACACCGGATATGTTGATTGGGATGTCTGCAATATTGGTACATTTATAAAGTAATCTTTAAATCCGTAAGAAAGAAAGCGACCGAGTAATGAAATCAATGATACGCGTGAGGAGAACCGCTACCACCAGAAAAAAAAANAAAAAAAAAACATTTTCGAGATTTATTTGCTTGGATGTAGGTTGGCATTTATGAGCAAAAATGATTGAAAAAGAACAATATTACCCAATTTTCGGCGAGATAAGCACTCGGCTGAAGAGCCATGTTCTCATACAACCAACGAAACATTTGTATTTCAATATCACTGAACGAGGATGTAATGCCATCGTCAGCAACGAGACCATTATCGAGTCGTGTCACGTACCTGAATGAGCGCTGGCTTTAACTCAACTCTTCCAACAACAAATAACACAACTCTATCTTCCCAGTGGTACCAAGTAGGAGCAAAGCCATTCAACACGTGGATTCAGCCATTAATACCCAACCAGATAGCGTCACTCTTACATCGACGAAGTCAAGCAAGAACTGAACAACAGTGCTGTCTTCCGAATGAAATTTCATATTGGCCGCAATCCGACCGAATCATTTTTGCAATATTAAAAGCGAAGTTCGCTAGGAATCCAGTGTTCCAACGGAACTTCGGAATTCCTCTGTCGGAATCCGAATCTTGGATTTCCGACCGAAATTTGTCGTATTTTGCCGGCCGTACTTCGCTCGATTGCCATCACCACTGATGAGCAATTTCATCGAACAGTGAAATACCGTTGACAGTGTGAAGTTGGAAAGACATTTATTTCTCACATAAAGTACGGAAGTAACTTCGAAATCGATGAATTTATAAGTCAAACCTAATTTTTCTTATTCCAGAGGTTCCCGCATGAAGTGAAAATGGTTTCACGAAATTAGGGAACACATTCGAAAGGAAATTTCCGATGCGAACAAATGGATAGTGTTTAAGATCAAGCAGAATTGCGAACAGTTTTCAATGAAAATTTTTTCTAATGTCCTTCAAGTTTTCTGCACTCCTACCAAATATTCTAACAGTAACTGATTTCTTACGATGTTGACAAAACTGACAGCTGGAACTCACTCTTGTAGAAATGATCTGTTCCTTTTAACTTTCCAGAGTGCTGTGCGCCATAACGACTTCAGTGAGTCCGGAGTGACCGTTGCAGCCGGATATTTGCTCAAAACTCTGAAACATTCGATTGCGTCGTGATCAAAGGAACTCATAGAATCTGCGGTGCAAAGCAATTACCTAATGCAGATATCGTCCCACAACTCCTTACGCTTTTCATCTGACATCGACCTGAATGCGCCACTTGCAGTGTGGATTTCATCTCTGTACAGGAAAATCGTTTTCAATGCATATTCTCGGACCGTTCTGCGAAGTCTATTGCGATGATGCTCTAAATTTTTTAATGGATATCTTTAATGAAGTTTCATTGTTTCTTATTGATCCACCCTAATGCCACTTATACCAGCTGAATATCTTTCAATTGGTAAACGATATGCACTGAAGAAAACATTTCATCTTGAAATCAGAATGGCGTAGCGTTCAGTTCAACATGACTCGTTTATGGCGAGAAGGAGAAGAACGCAATGAATATTAAAAAATTGAAATCGGATTGAAACAACCACATACTTTGCCTGGTTCGACTCCTCTTCTGGGCTGCATTCTTTCCATTCGCAGAATCTTAAAAAAGCGAAAATAAGTGAGTGTAAATCAGCGTCTTCCACCTTACCATTTTATAAAAGTTTCGTTCCGAACCGCCTATATAAAGATGAAGTGTGTACGGTTGAACAAACGCGTGAACGTTATCATTTGCGGACTGTTTGGCTGGAATGACCCCAAGGTAAACACAAACGAAAAAGGGAAGCGTATATGATTAGCTATTTGTTAACACCTCGACGGGCTGCATTCTCTTTGTGTCAGACAGGGAACATGTTCGTCAAGTGCAACAATCACGGAATGTTAGAATTAATCAATTACTGATTTGCGTGCTCAGTTCAGAACAACTCGATTATCGAGCGTTTTCTCTCGATATTCCTAATGTCCTCACCTGAATAGCGAACGTGATCAGAGGAATGTTTTGATTCGTTACACTCCAGCTATCCAACTTGTTTCCTACTAACAATAAATGAACAACTGGCCCATAGTGATACCGTGAACCTGTGGGGAGTTGTTGGGCAATGAAAGATCTGTCTGTATCAATCTCACATCAGTGAAAGATCTGGATTTATTTCGGGTCCTTTGCCCCAGAAATTATTGGCCAATATCGAACAGTAGTCCGTACACTTGTGTGATCGCAAAATGAATGATAAGGCCAGAAGCGGATGATTTGTCGAGCTGGTATCGTTCACTGTGCGCAAAAGAAGGCACAAACGCAACAGCAGGAATATTGTGACAGCGATAACAGTTCTAACTGCTGACTGAATACATAAATGCTCGCTCACCATTTCCATTGCTTTCCGTAGGCATCCCCAACGAGACCTGTGGCAATCCTCTGTATTTGTGATCACCTGATTCAATTGCTTTCGTGTTATCATTCAACTCAACCACAGTTGATTTTATGCAATATTCAGCATCTGGTGAGACTAAATAATGATAATTCTTATCATTATTATTATCATAATTACTCGCCATGGAAATTTCGCTAAATTTCACGCTAGAATTCTTGAATCAGCTCCTGAAATCTAGAGAAGGGATGAATAGGGGAACAAATCCACAAATACAGAGTGTAGCAAAATGAGGTGACGCATTGATGGGTTCAATGAAAGCAAAATGGAATAGATAATGTGAAAAAATGTTTTTGCCACTTTGTTGCATTTCGTTTGAAAAATTACACCAGTTAAAAGTTTGCCGTTATTGTCCACAGACTGTCGAAGACGCTCGTGAAAGTTTTCCATAACCGGACGGGTCATTTCATGTGGAATGGCAACAAATTTTTGACGAATGGTATTTTTTAATTGTTCAACCAACCTACGGCGATGATAGTATACTTTTGATTTCAAGGATCTCCATTAAAAAATCAAACGGGTTTAGATTAGATGATCCGACGGGCCAACCAGTATCAGTACGCAATGAAAACAAATGGGCGAGAATGAAATTTCCTTCCTAATTTCCATCGATCGTTTAGAAGTGTGGGCTGTTACACCAACTTGTTCAGAGAAAACATTGTTTCTATCGTTAAGTTCATCCAATCAAGGTCCCATAAAATTGTCTAGCAACACACAACATCGTTCAGAATTATCAGTCACTGTAAGACTGTCTTCTTAAAAAAAATACGACAATTCTCATGGTCTCTTTCGCCGAGTTCCTGTACTGAAAAAATGGCATCATACGTACATTCGGAAAACAAGAACACTTTCTTCGTTGTTTCATTTTGCTTTTATTAAACCCGCCAATGTGTCACATCATTTTGCCCCACCCTTTGTAATAAACGACGCAGTCTCATTATGACATACTTTGAATAAGGCATCAAATCGAAAACGATATCACAAAAGACACGGGTTTACTCTGATCGAGTACTACATGCAATTCAAATGCGGTTCAATGAGTTGGAAATTTTCTTTCGCCAGATGCATGAACAGGTCTTTTTCAGGTTCATCATCAAAAATATACGAAATGGTTACGAGGATGGAAGGGCGTGACAAGATATGAGTAGTCTGGACATGAGACATTTCAGTTATGGTACTGTATCAGCGAATCTAACGTTACTCATTATTATTCGATGTCATCCTTCATTATTATCCGATCACAATCGTCTGATTCGATGGTGATGCCTACTGCTGTAGCCTATAAGTTATAAAGCATGACATGACGGTCATAGGTTTTCAATAAGATTTGAGTTGTACTTTTCTCGATTTGCGGCTCTCGCCCCACCTGGAATTCAACAGTTCAATCATTTCTAGTCACATTCAGGATGAGATTCGTCCTAGTGGCTACCAGATCGGAAACCAGATTTGTCAACAAATACATCAGCAGCGGTGCCACCAGTCGGATGAGATCAGCTACGGCAAATGAAGTCGTGTCGTCCAGTTCAGCTCAATGTCGCTCAAAGATCCAGTGAAATACACTATTTAATGGCGATTTTAAAAAGTTAACTTCACGCCCGCGGAATTCGGTAAGTATGGATAAGGAAAGCACTGAATTGAGTAATTCCAATGATGAGCATGCTACTGAAAAAAGAAGCTTCACTAATCGTTAATTCGCCAAAAAATTTTTTGTTCCGCTATAAAATGATCCATTAGTAGCGCCGCTGACGAAAAAATGGCGAAACATTTCGCTGTAAACGCCACTATTTGAAGAAATAGCGCCAGTTCTTACTAAAACGATACTCGATAAAGCCAATCCACTAATTTCGCGATCAGGCTGCTGAAATGTCTGGAAGAAACCGTGAGAAATTTGGCTGAATATTTTCGGAGTTCAATGGTAATGTTAGGGATAAAGTTGAGAATTACACAGCATGTTAGGCCTGTTTTCGTGCGAAAGCAATTGTGTGTAGGAGAGCGAATTTAACTGCAAATTACGGTAATTAGGATGACCGCCATAGCCGACAGTCACAGTTGTTATAACATAAGAGATATTAATGAGATTATCAAATTCTTTGCAATTGTATTCGGCAATTCCTTACACATTCACCATATCAACTTTCTATCGTTGACGAATATATCGCTTTCGCGATAGTGTCAAATAACATAATTTTATGCAGTTGCACTAACAACAAAACTGCTATTCATATTCGTCATACGCATGCATCATTCATACGGCTCATGACTGCAGTTCGAATGTTATAAATAAATGAATAAGTTGATATGGTGCTAAGCAAAACGTATGTGATTTGTGCATCAGTCTCAAACTGTTTAGTGGATGTTTGTTGGAAGGATAAAATCTATTGGCATAGAATTGGAGATGCAGTGACCAAATCGCGCTGTATGGTCACTTTCAAGATCTCGACATATTGGAATGCTTATTTCGGCAATTTCGCAATGCTCATATTCCGTCTGCGAATCCGTCCATTACACATTGAATGCAATTCGCGGTTTGGCAAACATGAATAGTTGAAAAGAAGATCGATAATGTCATTGTTTCAGACGTAATGAATGATTCCAAC